TGTTCAACGTCCACAATTTGGTACTTCATATGTTTTGCCTGTGTAAGATGTTAATTTGTCCATGTTAGTTGTTTCCAACTTTGTGCTCATACTTCTCAAAAAAATAAATTTGAAGGGTTCTCTTCTGAGGATGATCTAGATCTCCCGAACCTGTCAGCAATAGCTAGTGCCACCAATAACTTCTCAATGAATAACAAAATTGGAGAAGGTGGATTTGGACCAGTCTACAAGGTAACGCTATTTCAATAATTGGATGCAGACAATCAAATTGCTGATGTTAGGAAATATCTCAATATAGGGAAGATTATCAAATGGGAAAGAAATTGCTGTGAAGAGACTTTCAAGAAGCTCAACACAAGGAATGATCGAGTTCAAGAATGAAGTAAAAATGATTGCAAAACTTCAGCACCGAAATCTTGTAAAACTTCTTGGGTGTTGCATTCAAGGACAAGAAAAAATGCTGATTTATGAATACATGCCAAACGGCAGTTTGGACACCTTCATTTTTGGTATGCATCCGAGAAAGCTTATATTATTGGGATGGACTGATGTTATCATTTTAGTTCTATTAACAAGCATATGGAACTTGAACTTCGAATTTGAAGAATTAAAATGCAGTAACTAATTTATTTTTTAAGTTGATTGTCACCAGATCATATCAAAGGGAAGATGCTGGATTGGTCTAAGCGCTATCACATTATTTGTGGAATTGCTCGGGGCCTTATGTATCTTCATCAAGATTCTAGATTGATGATTATTCATAGAGATCTCAAAGCAAGTAATGTTTTACTTGATGATAAGATGAACCCAAAAATATCAGATTTTGGCATGGCTAAAACTTCTGCAACTGAACAAAATGAAGGAAATACAAACAGAATTGTGGGGACCTAGTAGGTTTCTTGTTTAGAAGCTGCAAGTTCTTAACCTTTCTTAATTTCATTTTCTTTAATTATGTTGTTCTGAATGGTATCTTGCAGTGGCTACATGGCACCAGAATATGCTGCTTATGGACGGTTTTCAGTGAAATCTGATGTCTTTAGTTTGGTATTTTAGTGCTGGAGATTGTGTATGGAAAAAGAAATAGAGATTTTTATGATGCAGACCAAATCCATAACCTTATTGGTCATGTAAGTGTATGATATATTGATTTTTTTATTTTTACTTTTTGGTTTCTGTTAGGATACCATCTCTTAAGGAACATTCTAGAATGAAATGTAGAGAATCAATCACTCAAGGCACTCATGCTGAGTCACCAAGGCAGTTAGAGGGGGAATATTCTAGAAGGGAAATTCTGTTAGAGGCAATGAGGTGGGTCACACGTGAAGAATAATAATGCTTAGTATAAATAGATGAAGAGAAAGGAGGAGAGTGGGCTGGAAAATTGGGAGTTCTTGGGAGAGAACAGTGCCTCTAGAATTGCACTGAACCAGCCTTTATTTCTGCAATTATCTTTTTGTCATAAATACCTTTGTTACTGTATTTCTTCCATTGAGTAATATACAGAAAATCCAGTTCTTCTGGGCCATTTCTCTGGTGTTAGTTGCGTTTTACTCTGATAATTTGTTAGATCTTATCAGTTTCCCTAGGGTGTCCCCGCCCTTTTGGGTACAACTAATCCCCTTCGTGGGGTAGAGCATAAGCCCCAACAGTCCTCTCTTTGGACATAGCTCACTTACTAGCTCTGCAACCCTTGGGGTCAGCTCTGCCACCCCTTGGGGTTGTGTGATATATTATTTATGTAAGACTAAAATGTAATTTGAAATGTGCATTTTTTTTAAATTTCAGGCCTGGATGTTGTGGATGGAAGGAAAGGCTTTAGAATTGGTTGACAAAAACATGGAAGAATCATGGATTGAATCAGAAGTATTGCGTTGCATCCATATTAGTCTTTTGTGTGCACAACAACTTCCAGAGGATAGACCAACCATGTCATATGTGGTGCTTATGCTGGGAAGTGAGATCGAACTTCCTATTCCTAAAGAGCCTGGCTTCTTCACTGGCAAGGCTTCATTTCAAGGAAATTGTGCTTCAAATCCAGTGAAATCTTGCTCAAACAATGAAGTTACCATAACATCATTACAACCCAGGTGAAAGTTAAGTGAGTGGATAGTACAATTTGGTTAATGTAACTATAAACAGTGTAGGCCTTCATGGATCTGTGTTCTAGTTATTATGATACTTGAGAGACACTACATAAATCAACATGAACATTACTTAATCCTACTTCCAATTCAAGGCAGCATATCTAATTTCACAACATATAAACACATCCAAACTATTATTCTATCACACCCAAGCTTATTGGAAAGTTTTCTTGATTGTACTCTCAAATTAGATTCTGAATGAATATCAAAATTGGACATGGTGGATTAAAAAATTGAAATCCTAATTAGGTAGAGAGCTTCTCAGTATACCTACAAATGGAATATGCAAGAAGATTAAGAGGCTTTCAAGATGTTCACCAATAAGTATACCTGAAAAGTAGGATTGTATTATTTGAAAATTGTATATTATAAATGTACAAGAGCTCTCTATTTATAGAGACTCCATGACCTAACGGACTAAACCCAAAGAAGATTCTTGAATGAAAAATTAATAAATAAAAATAAATAATTACAATTATTTACAACACTCCCCCTCAAGCTGAGGAATAAATATTTATCATTCTCAGCTAGCTAGTAAGCTCTTGAAATCTATCTGATGGAAGTCCCTTCGTCAGAATGGCACTTGATCAAGTGTATTGACGAGGGTAGGTAAATATTGGTGTATTCTTTAGGGTTCTTGATCAAGTGCGCAACTATGAGAATGGCACTTTGCTCCGCAAGTTTTGTTTCCTTTTTTCTTTTACTTTTTCATATTCTTCGCCCTTTACAGTATTGTATATGCTAGGTTAATTTGTAATGTAAGTAGGTAACCATGTAAGCTATCGTACATTTTACTTTAAAAGGTTGCATCGAATGTTGTCAGTCAAATTTGTCATTCAAATTTGGTTTAAATAACATACAAATGTGAACTGTAACAACGATGTGGACTGCGAGCATGTTAATTCATCATTAAAGGGATCAAGTCATATGTGGCCTATCATATTTACCAACGTTGAAAACTGATTGCTTCTTCTCTTTCTTAATTCACAGAGATGCTTCGTCATACTGTGTTAGATCTGCAGCTTTCCTCAAATTTTCATTGCTTTATCAATTTTCTGTTTTAAGTAGTTCTCTTTGCTCAAATTTCATTGTTCAAAGTTCATTATGCCATGCTAAAATTTTCAAACATTTGGTATGGATATTTGGTATGGAATGATGGGGAAGTGGGGTGGGGAATATTTAATTAGCATGTTTGCTATGGGTATTGTGAAAAAAATCCCAGCAAATATTTTTTTTCAGGTATTTCTCTTTTCAACTACACAAAGGCAAATAATTATTCCAATGATCCTTTGGTATTTTTTTTTGCCTTACGGTCTTGGATTTTGAATATAATATGTTGAGTCAAAAATATCCTCCTGGTATATAAACGCAGTAAAACGAACCACTTTGATATAATATGTTGAGTCAAAAGCGTTTGATATATGAATCACTTTTCATATATATGAATCACTTTTCATATTGGGTATTTCGGTATTTTCGGTTCACATTCTCATCAATATTTTATCATCAATCAAACATAGCAGGAGTAAAATGAACTCAACTTTCTCGGTAAAATTTTGGTCAACCAAATGCTTTTTCTAAATTTCCCGAGATAAAAAAATTCTTGCCAAATCCTCAATTATCTTTTTTTCACTGTAAAAAAAATTATCTCTCGCACCAGAACGCCCCAAAATAAAAAATTCCTACCAAATCCTCAACCATCTTTCCTTATAGTTTCTCTTTCTTAATTTCCCTCGTTCTTTTTTAAACAATTTTTTACTTGGAAGCCAATTCTTTTGTCATTGCATAAGGATGACCTTCAACAACTCTTCTTTGACAATTCATGCTTCAACTCTTTAATTGCTTTAACTTTTGCTGAAGAGTATTGGAACTTGCTGTTTTAACTTCACTTGAAGGGAGGTTTGGTGTTCTCAGAATTTGAGTTTTTATTTTTAGAGCAATTGCATAATTGGCTTGCCGTGTTCTCGCATCATCAATTGGAGAAGCGAGAAAGCCTATGATCTTTCGGAGACAGAATCCAAAAGCTGACAGGCAAATGCATTTTTGAGGTCAATATCATTGAGTAAATCTAGTAATCCTCAACTTCAGGTAAGAAATCAAGTTCTGGGGCCTCAAAGACGTATACCACTGCCAAAATCAATACAGGATTGGAACAGCTCTGCCCCTACTTTGTATCAAGAAATAAAAAAGAAAAAAAGAATCGATGCCAGAATGTACTTCCGGTCAAATCATCTCAGCACTTAATTTTGAAGAAAGAAATTGGTGTAGTAAGGAAAACCATTTTAAAATGCTGCCCCAGAAACAATGGCTTATACTTCTTGAGTAATACCAATTCTTTGAAACTTACTCTCACATCAGGCAATCAGATAGTCATTCTGCAGTCATTCTATCCCAAAACCAAATATTTGATTTACTGTCTTATATCACACATCAGAGAAAAAAAAATATAGATTAAGTAATCAAGTTATATAGATCGCAAAATAGACCAATACAAACATTAAAGCTGATAATAATTACATTTGCTGCTTATGCTAGTTACTCTGGCTCAAATCATGCAAATCCAGTTTCTAAATTAGAAAAAAAAAAAAAAAAAAAAAAAAAAAAGATCAAAATCTAAGCATAACAACCGCCCTTAAATTGAAAAGGGATTATAATTTTATTCCATGAATTCAACTTAGTATTCTCAAAACAAAAAAGCAGAACAGTACATTCTGCAATAACATGGAATCCATCTAGCAACCTAATTGACAGATACCAAAATCTTCTGCCAACCCCAAAGTCCACATCAAATAATAAGAACCCATCTGTATCATCAAACCTTAACTCTGAATCCCCACACACACAAAAATCAAATACTTAACTGCACAAGATGACCCTTGTGACAGCAAGAGACAAACAAGACATTGAGAAGAAGAACAAAGACACAAAGTCCCTGGAAGACCATTTCCTAACCTCTTTGGCCTCAACCCTCAAACTCTTAGCCCTTCTCAAAGCATCAACCTCCTTCAACAAATCAAACTCTAACCCTTTCTTCTTCAGTTCCTCCACACACTTCCCCAACATCCCCTTATCCTCTTTCTCCCTCAGCAGCATCTTCTCCATGTGAACCTCCACATCGCTCTTGTACCTAACGGCCCATATGATTCCAAGGGAGAACACAAGAGAGCACAGTGATGGGATCCACGACCTGTGGCATTGGGGTGTTGTTGCTGTTGTTGAAGAAGAGTTGAAGAGAAGCATGAGTGTGGTTGAGTGGAACAGGAAGAAGAAGATGTAAAGCATTGTTATCTCTTTGCGAACAGACTCTATTTGTGTCTCCTTCAGGACTATGCGGCCATGGATGAGTTCCTCTTCCTTCAGCCATTGCTTCAGGAGAAGCTTGTGGGTGGGTGTCTCTGCAATTTGGTGAAGTGGGTGCATATGCTTCCACTCCATAATCGATGTTCTGGTTCTGTTCTGTTCATCTGTGTTAGACATTAACGCTGAAAGAGAGAGAGAAAGAAAATGTATTCAGAATTTGTGAGAGGAACAGTGAGAATAAGAGTTATATACAAAGGGTGATGTGTTGTGGGTTTTTTTGAATCTTTGTAACGGTTGAATTCGTGGAATTTCTAGAAATACCCCTTACTTAGACTACTTTCATTTAATTAAATTATATTTCGAATCCTATTGTAAAGGAGCGTCGTCGTAACTGACCTTAACGGCTAGGTGAAAAAGGATGATCTAAATACAAGTCAAGAAAATTAAATAAATAAATCTAATTGACGGTGGTTTGTTTTATATTTAACTAGTGTATTATTCGTGCGATGCATGGGAGAAAAAGATCAAATTTTTTTTCATCGAACGTCATTGATTAATTTCTAAAAGAAAAAATGTGTTACTATTTTCATATATATATATATATATATATATATATATATATATATATATATATATATTAGTGTATTATCTGTGCGATGCACGGGAAAAAGAATTGATTTGTCTGTCTTGTAAAAATTTATGCAAATCGTAAAAGTATATCGCCGCATTTTTTTCAATTGAGATAATTAATTATCTTTTGAATTACCACATTTAACTTCAACAATGTAGTGTTTAATTTTGTATCTTTTAATTTAAAATTATTATATTGGTTATACACATATATTTAAAATGTTTATGTTTAAGAAAAAATTTAAAAATACTTGTATGAATTTTTTGTTCTCTTCTTGTATTATATTTTTAAATTAAAATTTTAATTTATTTTCTTTTATAGTATAAAAATGTCATATCTTATTTGTTTGCAATTAAATTTAAAATTTAAATTATTTTATATCAACTCTACATATATTTTTGTAATTTTAAATATTTTTATGTAACGTATAATTTTATATTAAATTTAAATTTATTATTTATATATATACATACTTTTTCCACTATAGTAATAATAAATACTGAACTATTTTCCTATGTATCAAGTTTAAAATTCAAATTTAAAAAGTTTGAGTTTAAAATATTAAATATTTTTTCACACAATAGACATAATAATAAATATTATTAATAGGCTTGCAAAAAATTCATGCAAGAAAATATTAAAATAGTCTATAAAATACTTAATGTTAAACATCTTTTTCGATGCAGTAGTTGGATGGTCACTGTTAACTGAGTGTTCATTCATTTTTGTAGCATTTTAAATTTTTATAATTTGTTTTTAACAGAATGTAGATGTCATTTTTTTATTTAAATCAAAAATTTGAATTTTTTTATATTGATTATACATATTTTTTGCAAATTTAATTTTTATCTTTTATTTATAATTTTTATATTGGCTATACACATATATTTAAAATGTTTACGTTAAATATTTTTTAGAAAAATATTTGTACAAATTTTTTTTTCACTTTTTGTATTATTTTTTAAGTTAAAATTTTAATTTATTTTCTTTTAAAGTATAAATAAGTCAATCTTATTTTTTTGCTGTTAAATTTCTAATTTCAATTATTTTTTATCAACTCTACATATATTTTGGTAATTTTAAATATTTTTTCTTTTAATGTACAATTTTATATTATATTTAAATGTATTATATATATTTTTTCCCACTGCAAAATATTAAATGCTGAACTCTTTTCCAACTCTTCAAATTCAAATTTCAAATTTAAATAGTTTACATTTTAAATATTAAATATTTTCTCACCCAATAGACATAGTAATAAACAGTTAAACACTATTAATAAGCTTAACAATTTTTCACCCAAGAAGTAGTGAAAAACATTAAAATAGTCTACAAAATATTTAATGACTAACATTTTTTTACAATGTAAGAGTTGGATGGTCACTGAAAATCAGTCATTTTTATAGTGATTATATTTTTATAATTGATTTTTATAGAATGATAGATGTCATCTTTTTATTTAAATAAATTTTTTGAATTATTTTGTATTAATTCTACATATATTTTGAAAAATTAATTTTTATCTTCTAATTTTAATTTTTATATTGGTTATATATATATATATATATATATATATATATATATATATATATTTAAAACGGTTATGTTAAAAAAATACTTTAACGAAATTTTTTTTTTCTCTTTTAGTATTATTTTTTTAAGTTACATTTTTAATTTTTTTTTCTTTTAAAGTATAAATAAGTCATTCTTTTTTTTAAAGTTAAATTTCATAATTAAATTATATTTTATCAACTTTACATATATTTTTATATTTTTAAATATTTTTTCATTTAATCTATAATTTCATATTATATTTAAATTTATTATGTATATATTTTTCCCACTGCAGAAACATTAAATGCTGAACTCTTTTTCTACCCATCAAGTTCAAAATTCAAATTTAAATATTATGAATTTTAAATATTAAATATTTTCACACCCAATAGACATAATAATAAACACTATTAATAGGCTTAATAATTTTCCACACAAAAAATAGTATGAAAGATTAAAATGGTCTGTAAAATACTTAATGGCTAACATCTTTTTATGATGTGAAAGTTTGATGGTCACTGAATAATCATTCTTTTTTATACTTTATTTTTTACAGAATGATAAATGTCATTTTTTATTCAAATTAAAATTTTAAATTTTTTTGTATTTTTTTTACACATAAAATTCTTTTGTATTAATTATACATATTTTTGGTAAATTAATTTTTTTATCTTTTATTTTATAATTTTTATTTTGGTTATACTTATATATTTAAAAAATTTATGTTAAAATTTTTTAATAAAAAATACTTGTACAAAAAATTTTAAGGAGCATGAACGATTTCCTAATATGGACGGGAATAATTTATTAAGGATAACGTAGTTTGCTTAAAAGAATAATGATGTCATGCATGTTTAATATTTTTCTAGTAAATAATGCAATTGAGTTATCAAAAATAAAATAATGCAATTGAAATTCAAACCTGCAAGTTACTATATATATAATCTAAATCCTTTTATTAACCCACTTCCAATTCCTTATATATTTTTGCAGTACAATTCACAATCCTATCAAGCTAAAAAGTAATACATTACCCAAGTTTAAAGCTGTCTCTTCGAATACTCTGATTATGAATGTAAATATAGCATCATATTTCAAGCGATTATATATAGGGTGCTCATAGACTTTTACCTTATTGTGTTTTTCAAAATTAGTTCTTTTCAAAAATAACACATTATATTAAAATAATAATAAAATAAATATTATTGTAGTGTAAATGTGTTATAAAGAATATGTATGTCTCTAAGTCATTGTAAAGCGCATTTTACTATATATACTTTTTAGGATTTAAAATGTCAAAAATTAAAATTCCAAATGATACAAAAGGTCATGATTAATAGAATTAAAAAAATTAATAAGAAAAGGAAAGAATATATAATAATATATTATTTTGGTTATTATAAAGCCACAATTGCATGGTGCATATACAGATAAAAGAAAAAAAATGGGAATATGCAAAATCAAAAATTTTATTAACATATAAAATTATTATATTAATATTATTTTATTAACATTTTATTAATATTTAATGTGACATGCATTTAAAAAATATGAAAATAAAATCATCTAATTATATTTTTATTGAGGTTCAATTTTTATAAAATTTGACACAAACAATCAAATAACACAGCTGTCTACCACTAACAAATTTTAAAAACTAATGATAATTCAAATTCGAATTGTTTCTAAAAGTGGAAAAAATTTAAGTTGTTTGTAGTATGAACACAAAGTGGAGACTGCATGAAAAATTGACACGTTATCAAATTTGTCAACAAATGATTTTGCTTTAGAATATATATAAATAATATAAAAAAATATTTAACTCTCTATATCTATATGTTTTAGTAAAATAACAACTAATAACAGTATATGTGATTAAGGTTAAGTATAAAATTATCAATAAAATTATAAAATAGCAAATAATTTTTTTATTTTGGATACAGAGGGAAATAAAACAAGTTAACTACAGACCATTCTAGGTGTGGACACACCCATAAGGTGATTCAAAAACAAATGATAACAACTAGGGGGAGGTTCTTCAAACACCCTAAACTTTGGCTCTTGCTTGAGAGTGTCTCTTGCCAAACAATCGACAATAGAATTTCCTTCTCTATACATGTGGGATATCCTGATGATCCAAGGCTTACGGATGAAAGTCTGGATTCTCCTCACCAGGGTGGCGAAAGGGTTGTACATATTGTAGTTGCCAGTGATCATATGGGTGACCGTAGAGTTTAGCAAATAGATGAAAATGAAAAGTAATACCATTTTTGTTATGAAGTGTTAAATAATAAATGGGTTTCCCATAGTTTGAGTGCGATCCAAAAAAAAACATGTTTGTACAAACCTGTCGAAGTTAATTCCTTCACTCGAAGAATGGAATTTGGGAACATTTTTCATTTCTAGGAATGAGGCACCTATACCTTACAATGATATTATTAAAAATATTAAGAGCGTAAATGGGTCAGGCAGCTGGTCAAAAGCTTACAATAACCCACAACATGACTTGACTTGATCCGTTTAAAAAATAGTACATATTTAAAAATATGACCATAAGCCAATTATAGAAGATTTAGCCTCTAAACCTCCAAGTCCGACTCATATTTTTCAATAAATAATATGTTGTTATTTTTATATTTTTCTAATTTACCACAATCTTTCCTCTTCTCACTTGGCAAACATATATTTTCTTAACCCTAAATTGCTCTGCCACCACCGCTCTTCCCTCTTCTGCCAAATTTCGTTACCCTTCTGTCCTTTTCTCAACTTCTTGTAACGCCCCATCTGCAGTCGGTTTGTTAACCCACATATGGTACTTAAAGTGCAGAATAATTAAATTCTAAAGCGAAAAATTTACTTTTACTTTATTTTATTTTCCTACATACTGAATTTCCAATTTAATTAAATTGTACGTCTCATATCTTTATAGAATTCTTACCTCTTTAATCAGTGACCATAATTAATAGTCAATGTCTATCCAAATATGATAACT